ATTTATGATGTCCAAGGATGAACCATGCCTGATCCCCATACATACCTGGTTCAACTCTTCATTCAACTCAACACAATGCTTCTCGTATTCATAAGAAGGGGTCTCCTCTTATTATCTAGAATGAGACTCACACACTTATCCATCCTCTCCCCCACCCCAACCATCTGCCACAAACAACAGAAGGAAAGAGGCCGAGGTTGCTCAGATTCCTACTCCTAGCCCTGCTCAAACAAGCTAGATTTCCTCCTGATTAGACTGAGAGCAGATCTTCCTGGCAGGGGCAAAAATAATCAAATATAGGACTTAGGAAGTTATTCACATAGTTCATGAGCAGATGAGAATCCCACCCGCTCTCATCAGTTGCTGTATGCTCAGGCTACTCAAGATGGCTGTTTTCTTGCTCTTTGTACATCCCTGCTCGACCAGTCCCTGCTTCACCTGCACCCTACTCACATGGACATGTTTGCCCCTTGTCCCTTAGACCAGAATAGCTCTACCTGCTAGTTTGTTAAAGGGAAACATCTGGCCTCGTGGTGGTCATTAACCTGAGGGGCTGTGAGGGACGTGCCCCTGCTGCTGATTTCCCTGGTAGTTGATGAGCCAATCCGATGTCAATTCCCCCTATAAATGGTAGCCTCCTTCTCCCCCAGGTAGCGAAGACTTCTGCTGTGTCCTGCCCGCTGTCTGCTGCACACAGTGTGGGGTGTTGCTCCCAGACTTGCCTCAGCTGTATAAGATCCCCATCTGTTAAATCATTTGTGTCTCTGTCACTGTCTCAAGGCTCTTTCTTCAGTCTCGAGACTGGGCAACTGCAAGGCTTGCAGGCCTGCAGGGTGCAGCCCAACAGTTATATTTATCACATAATGAGCTTGGTTTTCCTTATTTTACGCACTAAACAGATGTGTAACAAAAATGATGCCTAGAAAGTACAGTTGCATTGGACTTGCTCACTTGATAACATGGGAGTTTCTGATTGCATCTGAATCCATCGACCCTCTTCCAATTTGTCCCATTAAAATATCCCAGTCACTTATGTTCATTAAAAAAAAAAAAAATCTATTCTCCCATTTGGGCATAAGTAGGATTACTTCCTCAAAGTTTCATTCAAACCCCACTAGACTCCCTAGTGTCCGACCTCACACACTATGATATAAAAGTTTTGTAGATAACAAGAATGTGAACCCACCCTGTCTGTCTGACTCAGTCAATAGCTTGACCTCCCAGATAATCTTGGATTTGACTGCTGAAGCCTGCCCAAAGCCCAGTTGCTCTCCAGCCAGTTGATTCAGCTGGAATGGAAGTCATGAAGCTGGGGCTACAGATTCGGCTCTCCTGAGGACTAATTAGTTTCACACAGAGAAAAAATTCTTCCAAACTTCCCTTATAATCCCAGCCATCTATTTTGGAAGTGCACTCACTGGGGAAGGAAGGACATTCTAACTCACTCTCTCCAAATCTACAGATTCCCTCTTCTTCTCAACAAAGTTTCTTGCAAGAGATGTTTAGACTCATTAGCTCAGCCTCCTTTTTTCAGTTACTCCTTCAATGTCTGGATTCCTTCCTCCTCCCAACAATCCATTGAAATAATTCCTGCTAAAACCACCAACAATCTGCTAACTGCTCTGAATGAGGACCATTCAGAGCCAATCCATTTCTCCAGGGAGGAAAAACAGTGGCAAACATAGTCTCACTCCTGGAAGACAAATGAGCCCTAGTGGATGCTCTGCTGCCAGATCCTTCTCCAGCTGCTGGCACGGTTGGGGGCTGAAGGCTTTCAGCTGGATTGCTCTTTGGGAATCTGCATCAGCTGAAAGCAGCTGTCTGACCCAAACTCTTTACCTTTCTGGGGACAGCCAGCATGCAATGACTGGTTGGTGGGGGGTTGAGTATGAAGTGTCAGCCCTCTTGCCTTAAATTAAGACAACCCTAAGGGGCCATCCTTCTCCCAAGCTCCCTGTGGGATTGACTGAAGCCTTTGTTACAAATGCCGTGACGTGACACCATCTCTTGATGAGAACTACATTGGACCCTCCACCATAGAAGGGACAGAGATTGATTCTGACAGACATATAAACATATTTTGTGGGGTCTGGGTTTGCCCTTTCTTCCCACAGGACCTCACCCAGCAACGCTGTCTGAGCATCTGATCCAATGACGTGGGTCCTACATAACATCATACTGAACCAAAGAACCCACTTTATTTTATTTTATTTTTTATAAATTTATTTATTCATTTATTTAATTTTTGGCTGCATTGGGTCTTCACTGCTGCATGCGGGTTTTCTCTAGTTGCGGCGAGCCAGGGCTATTCTTCATTGTGGTGTGCAGGCTTCTCATTGCAGTGGCTTCTCTTGTTGCGGAGCACAGGCTCTAAGCGTGTGGGCTTCAGTAGTTGTGGCGCAAGGGCTTCAGTAGTTGTGGCTCGTGGGCTCTAGAACGCAGGCTCAGTAGTCGTGGCACATGGGCTTAGTTGCTCCGCTGCATGTGGGATCTTCCTGGACCAGGGCTCGAACCCGTGTCCCCTGCATCGGCAGGCAGATTCTTAACGACTGTGCCACCAGGGTAGCCCAGAACCCACTTTAGAGCAAAGAGATGTTGCAGTGGTCACATGACCATGGGCTCTACTGGTCCCACTCAGAAGCTGCTGGCCTGATAGAGCAATAGGATGGATTTCGAAGGTGCAATTAAGGCACTGTCTTGAAGATGATACCCTGAAAGGGTGCTGCCTTCCCTCCCCACCCCACCTCCCAGGATTCAGCATGTACTCTAAATCGGTCACCATTACATGGTGTTGGCCCACAGAAGGTAGAACACAAGTATCCATAACCAATGGGAGTAAGTAGGAGTGGTCCCATCCACCATCATGCCCGGCGACTTGCTCTTGGTCTTCAAAACTCTAGTTCCTATGGATTTAAGGGTCCTAGTTCCCAGGGTAGAAACATTTGCACCAAGGGACAAAGCAAGGGTCCCATTAAAATGCAAGCTACTGGGCTGCACCCAGTCACTTCAGTCTTCTAGTGCCAAGAAACAAGAAAGTAATACAGCAAGTTGTCCACCCTGGCAGGAGTGATGGATTCTGTTACTCAGAGGAGGTGAGGCTCCTGTTACACAGTGGGGAGAGGGAAGATTATGTTTGGTACCCAGGTGAACCACCTGAGCCTCTCTTGGTACTCCCCTGCCCAGTTTTGATACTGAATGGTTAAACGTAGCAGCCATAGCCTGAGAAGGGCAGATTGACCAATGTTCAGGCTTCTCAGTGTTAAGGTTCTTGGTCATCCCACCAAGTAAACCACCTGAACCAGCAGAAGTAACAGCTGAGGGAGAGAGAAATCTCGAATGGGCAGATCGTTTGCAGCTTTGAGATGAGCTACAGTGATGGGTCCCATAGTTCATCCCACTATCCATTTTCTTATAATCCTGGGACAGTTGGTCCCAGAATGTCTTGTATGAAAAAAACTGGATCCAAGCAGTGTCAAGGGTAAACAGCAGTGCACATTTTAGCGCACCTCGCAGACCCTCCATCTCAAGATTCTGGAAACCTTTCTTCCAGTTGCTGTGAGTGTTGACAGCACAATACTTTCAGATGAGTTGTCCTCCAGAAGTTGCCCTCTATTAGGTAAAACCACCTCACACAAGACCATGCCTTCTTCTCACTGGCAGCTCATGTCCAGTGACTGGACAGTTCTGGGAGGGTATAAAGAACCACCCCCTTTGCCTCAAGGCAAGATGACCCTGGAGGGCCACCTCAGTTTCTGAGCTCCCCATGAAACAGGATGAGGTCTTTGTGACTGTATTACAATCCAACTTCTCCCTCTGACCAACACTGCTTTTGTCAATCCCCATGAGAACTGATATTGGCGACACTCCCCAATGAACTTTCTACAGACCAGTCTCCAACTCAGAGTCTGTCTGCTGGGAAACCTAAGACAGAAGCTTGAATATAGGAAGAAGGTATCACATTGGGTTTAAGGAGAGTATGGATTTCGAAGTTCCACAGAACTAGTTCCAATCCCAGCTTTCCATGTACTACTACCTGTGAACTTGTAAGCAAAGGCTTACATTCTCTAAGCTTCTGTTTCTGCATCTGTAAAGTGATAATAATAATATGGCCCTCAAATGGCTATGGTTGATGTGTAAATTAGATATGATGAAGTTCTTAGCCTGGTGTTTCACATAATAAGCACTCAAATGAAAGCAAATATACTTAAGTGAGTCTTCTGCTGGGTTCCTCCTGAAGCAGACCCTGAGCCTAGTATTTGAAAGCAGGTAGTTTACTGGGGAGGTGGTCCACAGGAGGCACTCACAGGGGGAAAATGATGTGAGATGGAGAAAGGAAGGAAGTCGATCCTGGGTATGTTAATGAGAAAGTTAACGATGTGGGCAATTAGGACTCAGTCTCGCCAGGGACCTCTGAAAGATTGGGCAGAACTTGCTCTCCTCAAGATGGGTAAGGAAATTGGGGTATTTGCCCCCAAATCCTATCCATCGTCTGTTGAATGCTTTTCCCCAGAGGATTAATTCCTTGATCATTTTAGTTCTGCCTCACCTGCTCTGGGGCAAACCCAATCCAGCAATGAGAGAAAACTCTTAGGCAGAGACTGAGAGATGCCTTCAGGTAGGAGCAATTTGTTGTCTGGGAATGGCAGCGCTGTGGGGATGCGGCCAGGGCAATGATAACATTTGCCGCCGGCTGTGTTTGCACATATTATACACTAACAGCAATCTCCTTGCACATTTTCACTTTATTCGTACACTTCTATGTTCTCTTGATCCTCTCACTGTTTTGTGTTTTGGAGAGTATAGTGGATTGTATGGTGTCCCCCCAAAAGATGTGTCCACATCATAACCTCTGGGACCCGTGAATGTGAATTTATTTGGAGAAAGGGTCTTTGCAGATGTAAGTAAGATAAGGATCTTGAGATATGGATCATCTGGGTGGGCCCTAAATTCAATGATACATGTCCTTATAAGAGAGGCAGAGAGTTTTGAGACAGAGGAGGAAGAGGCAGTGTGACCATGGGGTCAGAGACTGGAGTGATGCTGCCACAGCCAAGGGACACCTGGAGCCACCAGAAGATGGAAGAGGCAGGGAAGGATATTCCCCCTAAAGACTAGAGGGGTCACAGCCCTGCCGACACCTTAGTTTTGGACCTCTGGCCTCCAGAACTCTGCAAAGAATCAAGTTCTGATGTTTTAAGCCTCCCAGGTTATAGTAATTTGTCGTAGCAGGAAATGAAAACAGGGCGTGTTCCATAAATTTGTTTCTGGATGTTTTTGGCATTCTTCAGAGAGTGTCAGCAACCACGGTCTTAACTTAGCTTTTCGTTAAAGAAGAAAGAGGCTTGAACGCAGACCAGTTCTCCAGCCCAAACCAGCCTCTCACTTGGAGGACCTATGCTGACTGCATTTCCCAGATTGGCAGATGCGCTCCAGGCCTTGGGAACCAGGAGGTTCTCACCTCTGGTCTCCTCTGGTTCCCTGGCTCCAGGCTACAAGCGTAACACTTCCCTGAGGTTCTCTGGCTGTTTCAGAGAAGCCACAGGGCATGAGATCTCTTCTGTGCTCTCTTAGGCAGTCTGAAAAAAATGAAAGCTAAATTAAATTAAAGCTAATTGAGGAAGCTGATTACTCTATTAGAAGCACTTCAAAAGGTGTTCTGCAAGTTGATGCCCAAGTTGGATATTTATTCCACAAACATTTATCAGTTTTTCTGGTGTACCAGGAATTTTTCTGGATGCTAACAGAGATAGGAATCCTTAGGGAAAAGCAATGATGGTTTTATAAATTGCACATTTATTGAAGTCCATATTCCCACTCCAGACAAGGTCTGTGCATGTGGTGTGTCAGCGTGGCAAAGATCCGTTTTTGACTGTGTTCAGAGTTCTGGTCCTCCGACCTGTTAGCTGGGGATTGATGCTCCTCCTGTGATCCATTTTGTTCTAAATGTGCTGTCTTGGCATGATGTAGCGGGGGAGAACTGTCCCTAGGGGACACTGGATGCAGAGGCTACAATGCCCCCCAAAGCTCCTTTCACATTCTAGAGAACAACATCTACAGGTTTGAAACAGGAAAATATGATCTGGGACTTCCCCTGTGGAGCAGTGGTTAAAAAACCGCCTGTCAATGCAGGGGACACGGGTTCGAGCCCTGGGCCGGGAAGATCCCACATGCTGCGGACCAACTAAGCCCGTGGGCTACAACTACTGAACCTGTGCTCTGGAGCCCATGAGCCACAACTACTGAGCCCATGCGCCTAGAGCCTATGCTGTGCAACAAGAGAAGCCCCCGCAATGAGAAGCCCGTGCACCGCAACGCAAAGTGGCCCCCGCTCACCGCAACTAGAAGAAGCCTGCGGGCAGGAACGAAGACCCAACACAGCCAAAAATAAATAAAATTTTAAATAATAATAATAAAGAAAAGAAAATATGATCCTTCCCACCCATCCTTCCTGGACCATTTAGTCTACCTCCTCCAAAATGCTTCCCAGACTTTTCTGGCCCAAGTAATCCATCCACCTATGATACTCTGGGCTGGTCAACCCATGCCAACCCAAACATCTATATTGTTACTTACCACCTTGTTAAGTGTTATCTCCTTGGGAAGCAGGGACAGGATCCTAACATTGTCCTAGCCCAGGAAATCTAATAGATATTCAATAATTTGTTTGAATGAGTATTGAATGAAATTCATTAGACAATTGGAAAAAAATGAATGAATCTTGACACTTCTGCTCAAAGCCTCCTGCTGACTTCCTATCACGCTCAAAGGCCAAAGCCAAAGTCATTACAGTAGCCCAAAGGCCCCCTGTGACCCAGCCATCTGCCACCTGTAGGACCTCATCTCCTATCAGTCTTCCCCTTGCTCATATCTCTGGTCTTCCGTTTCCTTGAACACACCAAGCATACTCTTTCTTCAAGCCCTAACATGGCTTCCCAGATTTAGCAAATAAGATACAGCATGCTTAGCTCAAGTTTAATTTTAGAATTTTTTTTTAGTATATAAGTATGTCCCATGCAATATTGGGGATACACTTATACTAAAAATATTTTTTTTATCTGAAGTTCCACTTGAACTGGGCATCCTGTATTTTATCTGGCTACCCTATGTGGTGATTCCTCTTCACAGACCGCGCTTTCCCAGGGCATCTACATGGCTCAGTCCCTTACTTCCCTCAGATATCACCCCATTAGAGAGGCCCACTCTTGGCACTCTGTCTAAAAGGGCACATCACCATCAACTCCATCCCTCTCGATCCCCATTCCCAGCCTAATTCTTCTTCTTAGTACTTATGACAACCTGACGGAGAGTATTTTTATAGGCTATTGTCCATCTTCCCCACCTTGCACATCCACCCCATATGAGTGGGAACTCGTTTCATTTACTGACATTTTTCTCATTACAGGGACAGAGTCTGGCGCAGGATAGGCCCTTAGTAACTACTTGTTAAATAAATAAATTTTAATAGCTTATAATTTGCTTTAAATTGTTGATTTCTATAGAGACGATTTGCAGGTAAGAATTTAAGTTTTAAATTTTAATATTGTTCTCCTTCAAGAATAATACTCCCTCTCGCCTCCCCTTCACCCATCATGACAGACCCTCTCAATAGGAAAATATCTCGAGCAAGAAGGGGATTTACCTTGATTCTTGGGCTTCTTCACTTGAATCTTTTCCCTTCTTTGTTCCATGCTGAATGCCAACTTAGAAACATGGAAGTTTTTTTTTTTAATATAGTTGATATACAATATTATGTTACTTTCAGGTGTACTACGTAGGGATTCAACATTTGTATATGTTATGGAATGATCACCACAGTAAGTCTAGTAGCCATCTGTCCCCATACAAAGTTATTACAACATTTTTGACAGTATTCCTTATGCTGTGTATTTCATCCCTGTGGCTTATTTATTTTATAACTGGAGGTTTGTACCCCTTAATCCCTTTTAATATTTTGCCCACCCCATACCCCTCCTCTCTGGCAACCACCCATTTGTTCTCTGTATCTATGAGTCTCTTTTCATTTTGTTTTGTTTTGTTTTTTAGATACTGCATATGAGTGAGATCATACTATATTTGTCTTTCTCTATCTGAGAGTCAAGTCCCACTGATACTTGAATTAGAGGACTTGTTTGACCTTGAGTTTTCTTGAGATGTCCTGTGGACCAATTTATCTGTAATTGACAATCTGGGGAAGACAAAAACAAACACTAGTAATTAAGGGGATGACCCATGTTATTTCATCCCATGTTCCACTTTTCTATTTGTCCCTTGCCTGGGGATAGGGAGAGAATTGTCTTTTGTTTTATTATAGAGTTCAGGTAGAATGAAAATTGTAGCTGTTATACCAGCTGCTGGCTAAGACCTACTGTTCTAATTCCTATTTGTCTAGCACTTGAAGGATGAGGCATTGTTTGGAAACATCTAATAGGCAGGTACCCTGGGTTCTGCAAAGTTGACAACAAGGAACGAGAATCTCAGTTCTTCTTTCTAGTACCCAACAGGATAGCTTTTACCTTCTGAATCTTTACCCAAAGCAGATATTCGAGCCAGGATCACACTGGTGGTCAGTTGACTAAATGGGGCTCAGAAGAGCCCAAAACTCCAAAGCTCTCCAACAGTCCAATAGTGAAGAGTCTCTGTGACTTTCTTCTGCCCCTACCACCACTACATTAGGCAGGGTTCCATCATCATGTACCTGACTCCCTGCCAACTGACACTTGATTCCAGGCTCTGCCTCAGGAATCTGGAGGTCCCTGCCAGACACTAATCTTCACGATTTCTTTCACTTGTTCAGGAATTGTAGTGATAATGTAGCGTTGGCCCCATCAAGGGTCTTCTGCCTGGCTTTCAAAACCTTCCATCATCTACTTTTTCCCCACCAGATCAGCCTCCATCCACCCATCTCTCTAATCTCTACCTTCCTTTCTGGTCTACATCCCCCTCCAGGCATTCTTTTAGATGCTCCTTTTGCCATGTCTATACCCTGAAGCTCACCTCACCTTCAATATCCTCTTAAGCCTTTATTGATCTTTCCTTAAAGGCCCCCAAATTCCAAATTTATCATTTCATTATATACTTACTGCATTTTAAACTTTTCTGTTGTCTTTTTTTCCCAAGTAAATTGTAAGTGCCTTGAGATCTTGAACATTTGTATGGAAAATGAAAACTATACCTGATGATTTATTTGTAAATGGCCCCAGTGGCATAACACTTAACACTAACTCTTAAGTTCATAGCTATACCTTTGGTTCTCTCTTATAAGCAACTAGAAGAAGAGGGGTCTTTGTTGGTTCAGTGACTTCCTGACACTGGACTTTAGACAAGTTTATTTGACCAAAGTTGGGAAATCTGTACTATCTTGACACTGGCTCAGTAAGAGCTGGTTTGTAGCCTCTTTTTGAGGAGTCAAAAATAAACATGTATGTGCTTAACACTGATTATACATTATCTTTAATCCTTACTACAAACTTATGCAAAAGGATTGTTATCCTCATGTTAAGAGTTTAGAAGAGCTTAGTCAGGTAAGAAATGTGCCCAAGTTCATGTAGTTAGTCAGGATTTGAATTACAGGCTGGGCTAACTTTCAAAGCATCTCCAATTAATTTTGTAGGTATTAGAGATCATAAGCACCAACACCATTATTATAGACATGGGTGAACAAAAGGGCGTGGGCTCAGAGGAGCTGCCTGTCAAATGTTCCAACAAACTGGCAGCATCATACACCTAGGAATTAGTCAATACATTATTTCTTTACATTCCCATGGATGTTGGAAAAAACTCAAATCACACAGTTTTCAGAGAATACCACATTCACTCAAAATTTTGGCTTGCTGAACCTAAGAGTGCTCAGGAGATATTCAACATCTAAATATGATTGATTGCCTTCTCTGGGGGGGAGGGGGGAGGGAGTAATGTTTTACTTTTCCTCTAGTTCGTTAGAGCCTTTTTTTTTTTAAAAGATCTTCCTTTAGAAGTCTAAATGCTTAATCAAAATAAGTCCTGGGACCCCGCAGAGCTTCATCTTACACAGTTGCATTTAAAAAATGCATGGCTCAATAGGCAAAAAAATCACTTAATGGAAATTTCATTCTTTACTTGCATCTCTTATAGAATATCAAAAGAGATCAGATTCACATATCCAAATCCAATTTCCTCTTACACCTATTTCTCTTCTACTCTGAAGCTGTTTTGAAGCCTCTCATTTACCAAAAGCAGAGTTGCAACATTCCTAAGTGTGGGAAATTAAAAATAGCCAGAACTTTTTAAAAAAATATTTTTTATTTATTTATTTGGCTGTGCCGGGTCTTAGTTGTGGCATGAGGGATCTTTTATGCCGCATGTGGGATCTTTAGTTGCAGCATGCAAACTCTTAGTTGTGGCATGTGGGATCTAGTTCCCTGACCAGGGATTGAACCCGGGCGCCCTGCATTGGGAGCATGGAGTATTAACCACTGGACCACCAGGGAAGTCCTGGCCACAACGTTTTATGCCACTCTATATCTGTATCTGTTGCAATGTGATTTTGTAGCTCCTCTTGTTGAGGTAGAAGTGACTGTGTGCCATTTCCGAGTTTAGA